GAGGGAGTGGGTCCTCTTCTACAGAGGCTCTACATATATCAGTACAGTGTCCCCCTGGCTTTAGTACTCTGGATCTGAAGTTGGCATTATTCAACTAGACTAGTCCTACAGATGCTGCACACATGTCAGACTGTTGAGGCAGGCCAGCTGCAGTCTCCTCAGACAGGGCAACCACCTCTTGTAGTTATACTGCTGTCTCCCTCGTTCATCCAGGGCCCCTGAGATTCTCTTTAAACCTGAGCTAATTGGACGGGACCATTACGGGATGCACGAGAGCGTCTTCAAGTCAATCCTCAGCTCAGACATCGACCTGCGGCGCAGCTTCCTGGGAAACATCGTACTGTCAGGTAACAGCTTCACGCTTTGATCCTGCTTCAGGTAATATTTGATCTTTACTGATTGGGTTTTAAAAAGAGAATCTCTTACTGAAGGTGGGAACACTCTGCTGCCCGGCCTGCCCGAACGGCTCCAGGCCGAAATCAAAGGGCTGGTTCCCACCGACACGGCAAAGAGCGTCCACGTCACCAGCCCCAAGGACAGAGACTTCTCTGTGTGGAGCGGAGGAGCAGTGCTGGCCAACCTGCCCACCTTCAGCTCCGCGTGGATTAGTCAGGAGGAGTATGAGGAGCATGGACCACAGATTGTCTTTAGGAAGTGTTTCTGAGAAGGACCACCGTGTGACGTACCACCAAGTGCAATATACATACAGCTCAATCACAGTGCCATGGATTGATCCCCTTTTTTTTTATATATATATATTTCTGTATATTTTTATGTATTGATGAGTGGAGACAGTTTCACCCTTGACATCTGTGTGGATCCTGTACTTGACCCCAGCAGGTTTCTACTGACCTGCTGCTTGCTTTATGCCTTTCCTACTGAGATCCACCAACATGGCAAGGATGAAATTGGTGTTTGTGATAAAATTCTTGTCAGTCGATGTCCCTCAAGAGCTTTTTCACTGTGTGTGAAACAATGGTAATGTGTTTGTCTATGAGAATTTAAGCATATTAATGTTGATTAATGGGACTATAATTGAAGCTGGCCTTTAATTAAATTTTTGTCTCCAGAAGAAGCAGTTTAGGGACATAAAGAAACCTCAATGTGCCCACTATATATTAATCTACTATTAACTACAAATTATCGATTGTATTTATAAAACAATTTAAAGTAAATTTGGAATAACAATTATCTTTTTATGTGTTCGACATGGTGAAAGTTGCCTTCATTTTGGAATCTGGATCAGTGCCACTGTGCAGTGTCTACTACTTTATTATATCAGCAAAAATGGATTATTTTTTCCACAAGAACATTTTTCTCACTTCAAATTATGTAATATTGCAACTTTTTCTCCCTCAAAATATTACAACTTTTTTCTTGATGTCACAACTTCTGACAACATTGCATTTTTTCTCTTTTGACTCTTGATTAATTTTTTTTTGTCATAAAATTACAAAACCATTTCAAAATTTTGACTTTCTCTCCTCAACATTGCTTTTTTTTCGCACTTGTAATGTAACTCTTCCTTACCATTATGAATATTTGTAATGATAACATTACAACTGTTTTTGTTTTTTAAATTTTGTCTTATTTTCTAAATTTTTTTTTTTTTCCCTCAAAACTTTTTTCCATAACATTACTTAAGAGAGACTATTTTTCCATAATATAACTTTCTCATGACATAACTGTTTTCATTACTTTTGCAAAATTTCAGATTTTTTCCTAGCAGTGGCCTTAATACTCAAAGTAAAGCATCATTGCACATGGATATTTGCTGTTGCTGCAGTAATGTGAACTGGAGAGGAGAAAAGTGTGGAATTGTGGGGTTTGTTCTAGAGTTGTGTCTCACTGGTGGTTATTTCCCTGTGTGTTGATTCTCCACCCAAGTTGCCCTTTGCTTAGTGAGCGTTTGTGTGTGGTTAATGATGAGGGTGACAGATGTGCAGTACAGTACTGGTCTGGTAATGTCTGTTGAATAATGCTACTGCTGCAGGTCCAGTCTTTTGTCTATTGTGTCAAGTTGAAATAAGTATTTATTTATGAGTGCAGTGTCTTACCATTTAATTCTTCTTTTGATCTAAGAAGGGTGGTCCTGTGAGTTTTTTAACACTCGCATGGTAGCATTGATTTTTGTGAAAGATGTTCCAACGGTGTCAAAACTGCTGTTTATCTCACTGCCATGAACTCTGAAAACCCTCAACCTTGTGTATTTATATTTATCTCTTGCATGAAATGATTTAATTGCATGTAATTTAGTTTCAGCTTTTTGCATGATCTCCTTTTTGTCTGTTTTTCTTTGTATGTTTTGTAAAGCGCCTCTCTAAAGGCATGGGGTTGTCATGTGACCTAAAGCTCAGCTCTTAAGTGGGAATCACTGTTAAATGTGAGAACTCCAGGCTGAGCCTTTCGTAAGACTCAAGTGAACAGCTCACGTCCCCTCCCTCCCTCCCTCCCT